AAAAAAAAAAAAAAAAAAAAAAAGAGGGAGGAAAGGGTTTATTTACCTTTACCTTACACTTCTATATCACTGTTCATCAGTGTATTTGAGTCAGGACAGGAACTCAAATACAACAAGAACCTGGAGGCAGGATCTGATGCAGAGGCCATGGAGGAGTGTTGCTTACTGGCTTACTCCCCATGACTTGCTCAGCCTGCTTTCTTAAAGAACCCAGGACCCACCAGCCCAGGATTGGTACCACTCATAATTGCCTCGCCCCTTCTCCATCAATTATTACTCAAGAAAATGTCTTACTTGTCTGCAGCCCAGTTTTTATGGAGGCATCTTCTTAATTGAGGTTCCCTCCTCTCCAATGACTTCAGCTTGTGTCAAGTTGACATTAAGCTATCCCAGTACACAGGGTCACTCTGTTTAGCCGTGGCTGTCTTGAAACTATATATATTGGGCTGGCCTGGAACTTATGGAGATCTGCCTGTCCCTGCCTCTTGAATGCTGGTTTAAAGGTATGCACCACCATGACTAACTTTTTTTCTTCTTTTTAAGACAAGATCTTACTTTGTAGGTCAGGCTGGCTTAGACTTATTGTGGAGTGCAGATGGGCTGGACTCACAGCACTTCCAGTTGCTGGAATTATAGGCATGAGCCACCACACCTGGCTTAGAGAGTTGGTTTTTACCCTTCTAAAGTAAAAGGGAATATACTAGAAATTGGTGGTATTCTTCATAGTAAACATTTTAAAATTTAATGAGCAGCAAAGTTATGTTACTACTAACTTTCTGCTGATCTTTTGAACTTATCTGTCCTATTTTATTTCTGCTTTTATTTCTTTTTAAATTTTTTTTGGTTGTTTCTTTTTTTTAATGGTAAATATTGTGTTAAGACCATTGGCTTACATGAAAAAAATACCACTGGGAGCTACTTTATAAGCACACAATGTGTTGAGTTGTATTGGTTCATTTAGAGAGAAAAAGAAGCATTTCCTCCCACTCACAAAGCTAATGACATATTTTGAATTTGTATTGTACCTTTTTCAAAACATTTTTTGCATGTATTATTAAAATGATTTTAATAACTCAGTAAAGAACAGAATGTGCACATTAAGGAGGAAATTGATGAAAGGATGAGATAGAGTGTGGTGCCTAGATGTAGAGCTTTTTCAATGACTCACTTTTGCTGTTTGGAAATTTCACTAAGGCTTTTAAAACCTTCTGCCCCCACCTCCTTCCTTTTTTCCTTTTTCTTTTACTGTTTTAGTATCTGGAAGCTGTAAGTACCATAGCAAATTTGCTTTAGTGTTCATATTGAAATTTAATGAGGCCTGATGATAGGAATTCCTACACTTTTACTCTGCAGACCCACAGATTAGCAAGCCAGCCCTTTCATTATTTTTGTCTGCTAATCCAACAAATTATAAGTAAACAGTGATAGGATGAGAAGAGAACAGCTACATTTTAATTGTCCTATTCTTAGAGCAATGAAAAAAAGTGTTTTAAAGGCTAGGCCTGTAGCTAGCTAGTAGGGCAGCTGTTCAGCAACACATTGTCCTGGGTTGATCTACAACATATGCAGAATAACAAAACTAGAATTTTGAATTGGAAGAGATATCTAATTTAGCTTTCGGTTTTAAGATGAAACAACAGATTTGAGGAATGGCTCAATGTTAAAAGCACCGCTCTTCCTGAGGGTCCGAATCTGGTTCCCACACCCACCTGTAACTCTAGTTCCAGTGGTTCTGAATCTGACACCCTATTCTGGCCCCTGAGAGCACCCACACATGTGGCACACCTACATACATGTAGATAAATATTTACATAAAAAATAGACTTGAAACTGCAATAGTAGCAAGATTTATTTCTATCTTGGAGTTTTATTTGATGAGTGTATATATTGCAATCCACTTAATTTTGATCCTGTCAGTGTGTCAGGTACTCTGTTGTCCCCAGAGTAACAGAACATTGTGTACTCAACAGTGCTATTTATATACATGACATTTTTCATAATATCACTTCTTGTTTCTTTCTTGTGTACCTCTTCTGAAATAACAGAAAATGTTTGTGCTATATGGAACCAAAAACAAAATCAAGAACACATCAAATTTTTATGAAATATTTTAAAATTTAATATACATACTTTTAAAACTTGTGACTATCAGATAGACAATCTAGTTCACTAGGAGGTCATCATCAGTCTGATCTGTGAGTGGGACTAGTTATAATTAGATGCTTCTGAGAGGGAAGGAAGTGTGTTGTACGGTAAGGCATTTTCCTCTGTTTTAGTCATGATCTTGTTATGTAACCCAGGCTGCTTAGGCCTTTCTTTGATACTCCCGCCGTGGCCTTCTGAGTACTGGGATTACAGGTCTGCATCATCATTCCAGCATACAGATAGCTTCTATCGGGAAGTTTAGATAGACCAAGGTCCATAGCAATGTCTATGTGAACCATAAATGGATCATTAGTTTCTGTAACTTTGAGGTACAAATGTAATAAAACTCTTTTCTCTCATAAAACTATGACCATCTGAATGTCCAGTTTAAAGAAATGGAAGAATAGGGGCAAAAAGAAAGGAAAAGCAAAAAGGAAATGTTTGCTTTCAGCCTGCCATCATTGTTATTAGTTTTGCTTATTCATGACTATTCTTTTCCTTTACACACTTAAATCGTTGAAAATAATCACTAGCAAAATGTATAAGTATTTTTGTAGACATTATTTGAATATTCTTGCTGCTATTCAGTGCTGAATCATAGTTAGAGAGAAAAAAACTCTTAGTTCTGCATCAAAGGAAACTGGAACCTTTCCAGCTTCGTTTTAAGAAAATTAATTAGCATGTGCTTGCTCTCAGCTCAGGACCTCTTCCCCAGGAGACCTGCAGCTTTTCATTTATTTATTTATTTATTTGTTTGTTTGTTTTTTATTTTGGGTCTGGCTTTTACAGAGCTCTGGCCTCTGTTACTGGGGTCTGCACTTGTTAGCTGTCTCATTCTCTTGTATAGTCTCAAGCATCCTCTGAGACAGCCGAAACCATCCCATGATATTTTCTTTGCATACAAAATGAGTTTTTGTATCAATTAGAGTTTATCTACTTCTTTGGCTATGAAGTTGAATAGGTTCTGAGTACTCCCCCTAATTAATCCATTTTATTTGTAAAGTTTTTCACAAACGTGTGCATTATAAGTGAGCAGAAATTGCTTTTATTCTTGAATGTCTTTCCAAAGCATATTATTATTTTTTACCATGTCAATTCCAGCTTCTAGTACGTTATGATTATTTCAGAATTCGATCCATCCCTTTCCCCTTTTTGTATGTGTGCTGTGCATATGTCTCAGTTTGCTTTCTGTCCTGTGATAAACACAATTACCACAAAGTTAGGAGAGGAAATAGTTTATTTGGCTGACACATTCTGATCACAGTCATTGAAGGAAGCCAGAGCAGGAACTGAAGCAGAGACCATGGAGGAATGCTGCTTCCTAGCTTTGCTCCACATGGGCTGCTTAACTGCTGTTTGTCTACAATGCAGGACTACCTGCCCAAGGCATGGCACTGTCCTCAGTGGGCACTGCGATATCAGTCATTAGAAAATACCCTGCAGAGTTGCCTACGGGTTAGTCTGATAGAGGCAACTCTTCAATTGATATTACTTCCCAGAAAACTCTAGTTTATGTCAAATTGGCAAAACATAGTATAGTATGTGTACTCATGCACGTGTGTACATATTTGTGTGTGTATGTGGGTGCGTGCTTGCATGCATGCACATGTGGGGGTACATGTGTGCATGTACCTGTGCTTGAATTTGATATTGGGATCAGTTTCCATCATTCTTCCACCTTATTCAGGGTTTCCATGTTAAATGAGTTTAGTCTTGATAGCCAGCTTGTTCTAAGTATTCTGTCTCCTACACCAGAAAGCTGGAATTACAGCAGGCTACACATCCATTTGGCATTTACATAGTTTCTGGGTATCTGAACTCTGGTTGGTCCTCATATATGGCGAACACTTAAACCACTCAGTTATCTCCTCAGCCCCTCCTTTCTTTTGCCTTTCTTTCCTTCATTCCTTTCTCCGCTCCTCCTCCTCCTCCTCCTCCTTTTTTTTTTTTTTAACCACTTCTCTGTCTCCAGAGTGCTGGGATTAAAGGCATGTACCACCACCACCCAGCTTCCCCTACTTCTTAGTTTTTGAGACAGTGTCTCTTGTATCCTAGGTTAGCCTCGAATTTGTTTTGTTGCCAAAGATAACCTTGAAGTCGTGATCCCTCTGCTTCTTCCTCCCAAGGCTGATTTTATGTGCCACCATGCTTAGTTTGTGTGGTGGGAGGGATTGAATTTAGGGTGTTGTTCATGGTAGGCAATTCTCTACCAACTGAACAAATTCCTCGATATTGGAATTTGATTTTTTTAAAAAAACAGTATTACATTAATTTACACACACACTATATATGTACATATATTAATTTACACAACATACTATATATATATGTATATATGCAAGGTGGTGCACATGCCAGGGTGTGTCTGTGGAGATCAGAGGTCAAATTACTGGATTAGGTTCTCTCCTATCATGTGGGTCCTGAAGATCAAACTCAATGTGTCAGTCTTGATAGAAAGTGAGTCTATCCACTGAACCATCTCTCTGGTTTTTAATTTGAATTTCTGAGCCCATTTTGTGGCATACTCAATGAAGTCTTTCCTGTTTGCTTTGTTCCGTCTTTTTCTTTTCTTCCTGCTTATGGTAAATTCCATTATTCCTTTAGCTTCCTTGTGCCTTAATGTTATGTGTATAATCTTACAAAATTTTTATTTTAGCATTTTGGAATGCTTAAGAGTCTTTCTGTATAGGTACAGATTACAGATATTTGCATTTTAATAGTAAGGATATTTTACTATGAATTTCAATAAAGTTGCATTAAAACACTTGTAGTTACATAGAAGTGAATTATGTTGGTCAATAGCATGTAAGAGTGTATATGTTACATTTATTTATTTATTTCCTTAGCTGTATGTTACATTTATATAAAACATACATTTATGAGCATGGCTATGGGTAATGTTGACTTTGTTTCTTCCAGGAGGACCAGGATGGGAGTCAAGGCTTGGGCAAGAGAAAGAGAGTAAAGCTAAGCAGTGGAACCAAAGGTATTTATATTTTGCCCCTTTTTCTTTTCTTTTCTTTTTTTTTTTTTTTTTTTTGAGCTAGGGTTTTACTATATCATCTGGACTAGCCTTGACTCTGCTTTGTGTCCATGTTGGTCTCAACAATCTTTTTGACTTAGCCTCTTAGATTTTACTGATGACAGCTGTGTGCCACCACACCTGGTTATATTCTGTTTTTTTCTTTAAAAATGATAAAACAAACAAAACACTTAATCTTTAGGAATCTCAGCTACATAGACCATCAAGTCCCTGGGTTTATTTAAACTTAAATAAATTTAAAATGTAGTTAACTTTAAATTTTATGTTTTCATTATTTAGTTTTAGCTTTAGATTGTTTTAAATTTGTACCATGACATTATTCTTGTTAGGAAATGGCAGTTCTGAAAACTTGGGGGCAGTTTCTGGTTTTAGTGTTTTAATTTTTTTTTATTATTATTTTCTGTGTATGTGTGTGCACAGTGCTCGCTGAGGCAAGAAGAGGGAGGGCATAGGACCCCTTGAAACTGCAGTTACAGACAGTTGTGAATTCCCATGTGGGGGTTGGGGATTGAACCTGCATCTTTGGGAGGACAGTCAGTGCTTCTAATTGCTGAGCCTTTTTTTTTTTTTTTTTTTTTTTGGCCATTTGAGACAGGATCTCACCTCTCAGTAGTCTTGGTTGTCCTTGAGGTCTGTGTAAGTTCAAACTGGCCTTGAACTCACAAAGAGCCTCCCCTCCTCCCTAAGGCTGGAAAAAAAGGCTTTTGCTACTATTGCTACCATGCTTTTTAAAATTTGAAAAACTTTGAAATTTTCTCATAGAGTTTTCTATTTATGTGCTCAATTTCAGATTTTGTAGCATTTCATGTTTTGGATTAGTAATGTCAAGTCTAAAATTTGAAGCAGTGAAATTTTAGATAGAGGGCTATATTTAAGAACAAGTACTATATCTCAGTGTGGTGGCCCATGTCTGTAACCCCAGTGCTCAGGAGGCAGAGGCAGGTGGTTCTCTGAGTTTGAGGTCAACCTGCTATACAGAGCGAGTTCCAGGACAGCAAGGACTGTTTACACAGAGAAACCAAAAACCAAAACCAAACCAAACCAAACAAAAAAACCAGAAAGACAAATAATACTTAATTTTGAATAACTGCTTTATATTAAGATTTTAGGATGAACTGTGTTATTTTTGTCCCATGGAAGTTGTGTTCATTTCAGTGCACTGCTGAAAGGGTACCTGAATTGGAGGTTCTGTCAGGTGTGTGTGATAAAGTTTAAATGAGATGAGCAACTTCATTAGTGATAAATTTTCTCTTTTCTTATGCAGATCAATCCATAATGGATGTTTTGAAACATAAAAGTTTTTTAGAAGAACTATTGTTTTGGACAATAAAGTATGAGTTCCCTCAGAAGATGGTAACTTTCTTACTCAATATGCTTCCAGATCAAGAGTATAAGGTATCCATTTATTTCTTCCTTTTGGAACTTTGGTTTCATTCTTTTTATGCCCTTAAATCTTTTTCTTTTGATGCATTTCTGAGCCGAGGCTCATATGGTATAACTGCAAGGATGTAACACTAAGGGGCATTGGTTGTTCTCCTGTTCAAGTCTGCCCAGAATCCACAGACTCCAGCTCTCCCTCAAAGGAGCACTACTCAGCAGAATTCCAAAGCACTGCCATTTTTGAATTTAAGTTTTAAGACAATTAAAACACTATGGTTTAAGAATATAAAATTTTACTTACAATTGCACATCACTTTTTTGAAAAATTATCTTTGTTCTGTGATTTTTACAACAATAAAATCTAAAGTCTTAGCTAAAACCACCTGAGTAATATTACTAAACAAATGAGTTTTGGGGTCTAACCAAGTGGAGCTAGGTGTGAAGGGAATGATGGGAGATAAACAATAATAAAATAATTCAGGAAGCAAGTAGTATGTAAAATGTCAAGTCCTGTGTAGACAATGACAAGGTACTATGAGACCATGTAATGGGGTGACTGAGTTTAGATTATGGACTTAGCATAGGTTAGTAGTTGCTTGTTACATTGTCAATGGGAGAATAGTTACTAACTCACATGCAAGTATAGGAAGGTGTAGTTTCTAGTCCCAAAGGATGTGGTTATGGCAAAATGACATTGCACAGTTTATGAAAAACATAAAGCTTGCATGGCCCTGTGCACATTAGGAGAGACACTCTTGAGCAGCAGTATGTCTTTATACACACTAAAAAGCGCAGCAGGAAATGTACTTGGGACATAGAAAGGGAATAACAGCAACTGTAATTAATACTGCAGAGCATTGGGTCCGACTGCTGCCGGTCATCTTTCAGAGCCCGGGGTGGGGGGCTGGGGAGTTACTTCTTGTTGGGTAATCACACCAACTTTCTTGGTTAGTGATCTTAGCTTCTAGCTAAGATTTCAGATTTTAAAGAACAATGATAATCTCCACCCTCTCCATCCCCCCAATCAGGAACAAGATTTTTCTTGTAGGCTGGCTGCCTTAGAATTCACTCTGTAGACCAGACTAACCTCTAACTCAGGTCCAACTGACTTGTCTCCCGAGTCCTGGAATTAAATGTGTGTGTCATCACCACCTAGTTAAAGATACTTTTCCAAAAAAATTGATGTATAATTTTAAGTAAAATTTTATGTTCTTTTTTCTTTTTCTTTTTTTTTTTGACATAGGGTTTCTCTGTAGCTTTGGAGCATTACTGTCCTGTCCTGGAACTAGCTCTTGTAGACCAGGCTGGCCTTGAACTTACAGAGATCCGCCACCACCTGGCTAAATTTTATGTTCTTAAACCATAGTTTATAATTGTTTTAAAACTTAAATAGGTTAAATTGTTTATTAACTTTAAAAACCATCAAAGCATTTTACTAATGTTCCAAAAAAGGCAAACTGTGACTTAAAATTATTGTAATTATTTAATTACCTTTTTATTTAACTTGCATTGCATCATAAGCTACTAACAGCTTTAAAAGCTGATTATAATATGCAATGTAGAATATTAACAGCAGTTGAAATTTGCAGTTAAACTGATTTTTTTCTATTTAAATTTTTACAGGTTGCTTTCACAAAGACTTTTGTTCAGCATTATGCTTTTATTATGAAAACACTGAAGAAAAGTCATGAATCAGACACAATGTCTAACAGAATTGTGCATATTAGTGTCCAGTTGTTCAGCAATGAGGAGCTCGCCAGGCAGGTGACAGAAGAGTGTCAGCTCCTGGATATTATGGTCACTGTGCTGTTATACATGATGGAAAGTTGCCTTATTAAAAGTGAACTGCAAGGTAAACTCAGAATTGTATTCATTCGTTTATTATTAGTAACTTTTGTGTAGCAAGGTCTGAACATTGCCTTATTTCTTTAAAGATTACAAGGTGTTTTTTTTTCTTTCTTCACAGAACAGTTGTATTTAAAGCACTGTTAGAAAAAAGTGTTTTTTTAAAAAATTATTGTTTCTGTTTTTCATTTTCTAGTCTCAGTTAAATAGGCCAGCAATTCTAAATTTTACTTAGTTTATTTTGTTATTCCCAACATCCTAGAACACTGGCTCAACAGCATCTCTGGGTCATGAGTTTGCATTGTCGGAGTTTTAGGGAATTTTCTTCAGAATTTTGGATGTAGGCGATTCCTCTTCCATAATGGAGTTACGTAGTTTCCCCTTTTTTGTCCATTGGGAATCAGGGAGTAACAGGCAAACTTGACTTCTAATGGGTCCTGGTTTTATTTGCTCTAACTTAAGAGTAGGGCACAATAATTCTGTGGACTGAAGCATAAATTTAATGTGTAGAAATAAAGAAGTTCAGTAGAGGCCCCCCCTTACTGATGAGTTTGGCAAATGCATGGTTAGTTGAAAAGTCTGATAAGGTGAAGAATCATTTAAATGTGATACATTGTTTTTTAACTTTAAACATAGAGAAGAATTTTTTATTTTCCATTTCTTAATAAAAAACCTATCGTGGATGCAGGTTGAGGTCAGAGGTCAACTTTGTACAATCAGTTTCTTCTTCCACCTTTGTATGGATTACAGGGATTGAACTCAGGTTGCCAGGCTTGTGCATTATCTCAGTGGTTCTCATTTTCCAGTCTTGTAATTCTTTGGAAAAATTGCTTTTAGAGCATGGTTTCCTTGGTTGGATTTTATCTTATCTATACTGTATCTGTAAATTCATTTTCAGTTGGTTTAAAGTAGAATTAGCATATCTCTGAAACAACCTTCCTTTTCTGCCCTGAGGTTGCTGGGTTTTAAAAAAGATTTATTTGTTTATTTTACATATGTGAGTGCTCTATCTGCATGTTTGATCTTATGCCAGAAGAGGGCATCAGATCCTAACAGAGATGGTTTTGAGCCACCATGTAGTTGTTGGGAATTGAACTCAGAACCTTTAGAAGAGCAGCCAGTGCTCTTAACTGCTGAGCCATCTCTCCAGCCCCATCCCTGAGATTTTTTTAAACCCCTTTATCCCTATGCATTTATTTTTATTGTATATCAAAGCATATGATTTAGTTTCTGTAATACCTCTTAATGTGAATTCATATTTCGTTATTTGTTATACTCTTTGTTTGAATCTATAATTGTGATAAAAAGAACACAGTATGAACAGTAAAGAATGGACTTTTGGTAACTGTATACCTCACTGTGTACTAGAAAATAGTACTGGTGTTGAGCATTTGGTGTGCTGTGAGTATGGTTTGTTTCATGGTGGGAATGGAGGCTCCATAGTCCAGTATGCTAGTTAAGGAGTAGGTTAAAAGGATTTTTGGGTGAGGAGGTGTTAAAGCGGTTTCAGTGCTTTTTGTGTATTTATTTCTGAGATAATTCTGTTTGCTAAAAAATTGCATTTACACATATTCTTTGACTAGAAGATAACAATATGTCCCATTTGAAATCAGCAGACTTGAACGATAAACCAGAATGAGATTAATCTAATGATAATGTTTTTGATTGAAACAGAATCCAGGAAATGAGGTTTTGTAGCATGTAGCTGCTCAGTGTCAGCAGTGAAGAGGACATGTAGTATTGAGTACGGTCACAGTGCATTCGGGCTTCATGTTAACTTTCCATTTAATGCCTCGGAGAGACACTCCTTACTTTACTTTAAGAATGAAGGGTCTAAACAACATGCCTAGAGTCATACCGATTTTAAATGCTATGCTATGCTAAGTGTTTCTGCTTCTAAAGTCTATAATGAATATTTTGTATCATTAGTGAAGTTGTTTTTTAAAGAAGTAATCTTTGGATTTTTTTAGATGAAGAAAATAGTTTACATGTTGTGGTGAACTGTGGAGAAGCCTTACTGAAGAATAATACGTACTGGCCTCTTGTTAGTGATTTTATTAATATTCTTTCTCATCAAAGTGTGGCCAAGAGGTTTTTGGAGGATCATGGCCTGTTAGTTACATGGATGAACTTTGTTTCTTTCTTTCAAGGTATGAATTTAACCTTTGTTTGTTTGAAAGATACCTAATGCTAAAATATTAAATACTAATTAAAAATAATAGTACACCATTGAGGTTATAAACCAGATGTCTCATTATTTATATTAGTTATTATTTATAAGAACTTTAATATTCATAGTAACATAGCAAGGGTTTATTAAGAAACGAGTGTGGTTTTCTGGTAGCACATTAAACCATTAGTTTAGAAACTTGAAATCTGTTTTCTCGGGTTTGTAACATATTTATAACAATTTGGACTGTCAGC